CTGTGGCTCACGCCTGTTCAGCACTGTGGGAGGCTGAGGTGGCGGATCACCTTGAGGTCAGGAGCTTGGGACCAGCCCTGGCACAACATGACTGAACACCCTCGTCTCTTTAAAAATACAGAAATTAGCTGGGCATGGTGACAGTGTGCCTGGAATCCCAGCTCAACTCCTCGCGCACGCATGCAGGGCAGCGAAATCGCTTTGAACCTGGGGAGCGGAGCGTTTTCAGTGAGCTGAGAATCCTCTCCAGCTGGGCAACAGAGTGAGGACTCCCGTCTCAAAACAAAGTTCTAAAACAAGAAAATATTCTTTTTGCAACAGGAAGTCTTTGAATTGTGTTTAGACAAGAAAGTAATCTTGAACTTCTAAATCTATACTTGCTACACTACGCATCATTGTTGATAAGCGTTTCTCGTTTCAGCTGAATCTTTGCATTCATTCAGTTTTTGCGTAGCTTGTGAGAGGTGGGCTTCTCGCTTGTTTTTGTTTCCTTGTATCTTTGCCTGTTTTCCCAACCATGGGTCTCAGATTTTAACTTCTCCCAAATGGTCAAAAAGATAAAGAGTTGGTTTTCAGCATACTCATCATTTATGTAGGTCTTTTTTATCTTTTTTTCCTCTTCTTTTCTTTTTTGTAGAGACGAGGTCTACCCACCCCCAAATACAAAAAACAGCCAGGCGTGGTGGGCAGGGCAGCCTGTAAGTCCCCAGCTACTTGGGAAGCTGAGGCAGGAGACATCGTTGAGGCCGGCAAGAGGCCAGGGCGGCGCGCCTCAGTGATGATGAGCTGCGGCTAAAGTTGCAGCCTGGGCAACAGAGTGAGATCCATCTCAATCTGTCCGGTACCTGACAGATTGGCCATTTTTTTTTTTTTTATTTCTGAGACGAGTCTCACCTCTGTAGAACCCACAGGGCTGGAGTGCAATGGTGGGCAATCCTGCGACCTCACTGCGCAACCTCTGCCGTCCCTGAGTTCCTTGAAATGCATACAAATTGAATCACACAGTATGTATTCTTCGGTGTCTTGTTTCTTTCACTCAACATAGCATTTTAAAAAATTTATCTGTATCATGGCTGGGCATGGTGACTCACTCCTGTAATCCCATCCCAGCACTTTGGGAGGCTGAGGCAGGCAGATCACCTGAGGTCAGGAGTTCGAGACCAGTCTGTTCAACATGGTGAAACCCCATCTCTGCTAAAAATACAAAAATTAGCTGGGTGTAGTGGCTCATGCCTGTAATCTCATCTACTTGGGAGTCTGAGGCACAAGAATCCCTTGAATCCAGGAGGCAGAGGTTGCAGTAAGCTGAGATCATGCCACTGCACTCCAGCCTGGGTTACAGAGTGAGACTCGTCTCAAAAAAAAAAAAAAAAATGGCAATCTGTCATACCGACAGATTGAGATGGAGTCTCACTCTGTTGCCCAGGCTGGAATGCTGTAGCACAGTGTCAGCTCACTACCCCTGCCTCCTGGGCTCAAGCGATTCTCCTGCCTCAGCTTCCCAAGTAGCTGGGATTACAGGTGCCTGCCACCACGCCTGGCTAGTTTTTTGTATTTTTAGTAGACACGGGGTTTCACCACGTTGGCCAGGCTGGTCTTGAACTCCTAATCTTGTGATCCGCCTGCCTCGGCCTCCCAAAGTGCTGGAATTACAGACTTGAGCCACCGTGCCCGGCCTAGTCTTGCCTTTAAAACGAAGTCCCATTTGGGAAACCACCTATATACAAGAATAGGAACCTGTGTGGGTTTCAGTGGGTGTGTCTAGCCCGTGTACTGCGGATGCATCTCCCAGAGCTGATCATGCCACTGCACTCCGGCCTGGGGGACAGTCTGTTTTCAGGGGCCACAGGCACAGATGGAGATTCCAGGTTATTTAAGCCCTTCAGATGTTTTAGCCAAATAAACACTGGCCTTTCAGGGGCACCCAAGGTCAGACGGGCACAATTTCAGGAGACAGATCACTTGGTGCTTAGCCACGGGCTGAGACATTAACAGAGACTGAACCAAAGCTAAAACCTCTTAGTCTTTCTAAGTGACAGAACCAGCATTGTTTAAATAGCACATCACGTAATACATTCTTATAACTTTAAGAGAAAAGAGAGAGAGAGGACAGAAAAGAGAAGATAGGCAACCCTCGCCCCACTGGGTGACTCCCTCTGGGACTGGCAAGGGTGTGGGCACCTGGGTGTTTGATCAGTTTCCTCCCCGCTAGCTTTGCCACCGACCTGGCATCCACCACGGCCACGGAGACCTCACACTGGGTAGCTTCTCTTCTGCCAGTTGCAGTCTTAGGGACAGGGACAGAGATCAACACACTTTTTCTGCAAGGAGCCAGAGAGTAAGTATTTTAGCCTTGGCCAGCAGTGCAGCCCCTGTGGCAATTACCCGGCTCTCCTGCAGCTACTCAGAAGCAGCCACAGATGATACAGAAATGAAAGGGCGTGGCCAGGTTCCAATGAGACTCTGCAAAAATAGGTGGTGGGTGGCATCTGCTCCTTGTGCCATAGTTTGCTGATCCCTGGAGTAGGATGGTTTCAGAGTCTGTCTCTCTCCCTCCCTTCCAAGAACCTCAGATACATTGACTTAGATCAACCAGTCTTCGTTTGTGACATGTTGGTATCATTGGTCCCCGAATGGCCTTAGTTATGAATATTTTGTAGATAATATAATGAAGCACTGTGAGCCCACTACCCAGACCCAAGACCCAGAATATTCACTACCTGTGCGCTACCTCCCTTTTCCCTCCCCCTGCTGCCTCCTTGGATGTATACCTGCCGATGGCTCACACCTATAATCCCAACATTTTGGGAAGCCAGCGTAGGAATTCCTTGAGCCCAGGAATTCGAGACCAGCTTGGGCAACATGGAGAGACCCTATCTTACAAAAAGTTGAGCATGGTGACGTGTGCCTATAGTCCCAGCTACTTGTGAGGCTGAGGCAAGAGGGTCGCTCGAGCCCCAGAGGCTGAGGCTGCAGGGAGCTGTGATCACACCACTGCCAACCTGGGTGACAGAGCGAGACCCTGTCTCAGCAACACAAAGATGCTGGGCACGGTGGCTCACGCCTGTAACCCCAGCACATTGGGAGACCGAGGCTGGTGGATCGGAGTTTGAGAGTCAGGAGTGTGAACAGCCTGGCCAACATTGTGAAACCCCGTCTCTACTAAAAATACAAAAAATTAGCTGGGCGTGGTGGCAGCACCTGTAATCCCAGCTACTCAGAAGGCTGAGGCAGGAGAATTGCTTGAACCCAGGAGGTGGAGGTTGCAGTGAGCCGAGATTGCGCCACTGCACTCCAGCCTGGGTGACAGAGCGAGACTCCATCTCAAAAAAGAAAAAAAAAAAGAAACAAAAGGTATACCTGCTGAATTTGGGGCTTAGCCCTCCCTATCTTTAGCCGTACATGTATGCTAAACATAGTGTTTAGTTTTACTTGGTTTTGAACTTTATAAAAAGGATATTATGTGGGGTCTTTTGGAAGCTAGGATTTTTGGGCTCAGCATGGTTACTGAATTCATCCACATCACACAAACGCCTCTCTTACTCATTTTCACTGCAGCATATCCTCATCGTGTGTATGATCATAGCTTCTCCTGTTTCGTGCTTGTTTCCAAAAAGAGGACTATATCTCTGATGCATTTGAATCAAAAGACTGGGTATCAAAAAGTGCTTTTGGCACAGCTGGGATGTAGGTGTGGGAAAGATCCCATTTATTGCTCTTTTTTTTTTTTTCCTATTTTTACCCTTTTTCCCCAGAAAAGATTGACCTGTTCTTATAAAATATTTAATTTGCAAATATGAGGCCAGGCGCGTTGGCTCATACCTGTAATCCCAGCACTTTGGAAGGCAGAGGTGGGTGGATCACTTGAGGTCAGGAGTTCAAGACCAGCCCGGCCAACATGTGACGAAACCCCTTCTCTATTAAAAATACAACAGTTAGCCGGGCGTGGTGGTGCATGCCTGTAATCCCAGCTATTCGTGAGGCTGAGGCAGGAAAATTGCTTGAACCCAGGAGGCAGAGGTTGCAGTGAGCTGAGATTGCACCACTGCACTCCAGCCTGGGGGCAGAGGGAGGCTCCATCTCAAAATAAATAAATAAATGTACAGATATGAGTCCTAGACACTGTCTTAGTCACTAGAGATGAGCAGTGAGTCATGCACATGGAACCACAGGACTCCTGCTCTGGTGGAGGACGCAGGTGATGAGTGAATAACAGCTGGAACTCTGGCTGTGTGGGGCGAGGTGCCCAGCGGGACCCCAAGTGCATGCCTCTGAGAAACTCGAGCCGAACTTTCCTGGAGAACATGAAGCTCGTGGAACCAACAAGCGTTACGCTCATTTGGACGGGGTGGGAGCAGCAACCCACAAGACTTTTTGTTTTTGCTTTTGGGTTTTTAAATCACGAGTAGCTTAGGTCTCTGTTGTCTGTGGCTTTCTGCTTGAGGCCAAGTAGAGAAAATTTGGGGCCAGGCATGGTGGTTCACACCTGTAATCCCAGCACTTTGGGAGGTCGAGGCAGGCGGATGGCTTGAGCCCGGGAGTTTGAGACCAGCCTGGGCAACATAATGAGATTGTGTCTCTATAAAAACAAAAAGTAGCCAGGCACACTGGCCTGCACCTATAGTTCCAGCTACTAGGGAGGCTGAGGTGGGAGGATCCCTCGAGCCTGGGAGGTCGAGGCTGCAGTGAGCTGTGATTGCGCCACTGCATTCCAGCCTGAGTGACACAGACCCTATCTTAGGGGGAAAAAAAAGCAAATTTTGATCTTAGCCTGGTTTGTATCTATCCTCTGGTTCCAGAATGTTATGGGCTAGGGTTGCAAAGTCTCT